CCAGGGTCAGGGGCTTGGGGGCCCTCCTCCCACAGGGCCATCGAGCGCCCCTGCCCTCCCATGGGGATCACCCTGCTCGCCCCTCCGTCAGCCCCTCCCCACGTGCGCCCCTTCCCCTGGGATCTGAGACCGCCCTGCCAGCCTCCGCGCTCAGTGTCTCGCTGCTGCCCACCTCTGCCCGCTCCCCTCTCGAGGCCCGCGGGAGGGTACGGGGTCCTGCAGGGGTGGGGAGCCCGCTGGAGGTTGGCTCTGGCCCTGGGGCTGCTGTGGGTGGAGCCAAGGAGCAGGGCAGGAGGTGGACAGGCCCCCCTAGATCCTGGGATGGGGAGCTGGAAGGGCTGTGTGTGGTGAGCAAATACTCTCATAAACACTTGGAAGAGTCTTGATGTTGGGTCTCCCTGGGGGCACCCGGGCTGGAGCCAGCTCTATGAAGCTGTCCCAGCCCCTGCAGCAGAGCTCCACCCCTGCCAGGGAGGGACCCCAGGGCGCACAGACCTCGCCTGTCTCCCCGCTGCTCCCCTCAGATTTCCATAGGTCCATGGGTTCTGCTCCCCACTCTGGTGAAGCCTCTCATCCCCCGACCTCTGGCCTGTACCCCAGTTCTTGTGCATAAATTAAAAAAGTTTTGACTTACCAACTTGGAAGATCTTTCCAGGAGCCCCAAGCCGCCCCCAGACCTTACTAGTGACTTCCAGCCTCAGGGGCACAGTGACAGTTAGCCAACAACTGTCTCGAGTTATTAAGCATCACCCAGGCCTTGCTCAGACGCCCACTCTGCCCCCGGGCCCCTGCGGACTTGGTCTGTGACTCCCCCTCCTGGGCCTCTCCAGCTGTGGGTGTCTCGGACAGCCCTGGCTCTCGTTGCTAAGCCCGACTCTTGAGTCGGTCTGGTGTTCTCGCGGCCCGGCGGGCAGTGGGCTGGCACCACTGCCCGCTGTGTGATGGTTCCTCCCCCCGAGCTCTCTCCGGAACAGTGGGCTTCCTCAGGACACCAGCTTTGCTCAAGATGCTTCAGAGACCATCCGCTGAGCAGAGGTGGCAGGCCGTGGGGAGCTGCACCCGGAGGGAGGGAGCAAGCCCAGGGCCCAGCTGCCTGTGTGGCCCGGTGGGGAGCAGGTGCAGGGCCCCGCAGTTTCTGCAGCCGTCACCCCACCTGGAAGGAGAGCTGCATCCTGCCCCGAGCCAGGGCCCCAGAGGGAGAGCTGTGACCTGGGCCTCCTTCTCCCAGAGCAGCCAGAGCCTTCGGATGACCATCTCCCTCCCAGCCCACACACCCTGACCCTGGGGACCAGCATGGTGACCCCCCCAGAGGCCAGAACAACCTCTTCTGTCCTCAGGCTCTGCTGAGTGACCTCTTCCAGGCAGCCGTCACGGACGCCCGCTCCTCACCACACTGGGTCACACACCCAGAGAGCGGCACAGAGGCCTTGGTCCTGAGCACACACGGGTGCCCCGAGGGACTGGCTGCGAGTGTGCGTGGATCCATGAGAGAATCCGTGAACGTGGGCGAATGGGTGGAGAGTGTTCTGGCCTTTGTAAAGGGTCACTGGTTGGCCGGCTCCACCCCACTCGAAGTAGACAACCCCACACTTCCTTCCATGCTCAGAGAAAAGGCTGGGGCTCTCCCTGTCCCACAGCACCCCAGGGCCTCCTCCCTCACGAAGGCGTGGCCCCTGAGACGTGGCCGAGAACCCTGGGCAGAGGCCTCGGACCTCCGGTCGGTGTGCCACCAGAGCGCCACACTGCCTGGTGGGTCCGTCACCAGCCTCACAGAGGACTGGAGCCACTTGCTCAGAGGGCGAGGGGTGTCCACGGATGTGACCACAGGGTTCCTGGCTGAGACCCCTACCCTGCCCACACGGTGGGCTGCCAGAGTGTTTACTCAGCGGGACCCTCAACTGCGAGAGAGCAGGGAGGGTGGGGGCGCTGGGGGCTCTCGGTGAGTCTCAGTGTTGCCCTAAGGAGCGCTTCCATGTGGCTGGTGGCTCCTGTGGGACAGCCGAGGGCTGCTGCCCATTAAAGTAAAACTGAAAAGCAACTAAGTACTACAGAATTGCAGTGATGAAGCGTCTCTTTCCAGTTGGCTTAAAGAGGCTTCCAGGCATCTGGCCGGCACCCCACTGAGTCCCCTCTAATGTGGCTTGTGGTCCGCGCAGGGAGGGCCAGGCTCTTTCTGCCCGCTGGGGTGGTGCCAGCAAGCAGCTGGGTCCAGTGTAACCTGCAGGAGGGCCATGGCGGCTGCCATCTCGGGCAGCTCCTTGGGAGCCGCCGGGATTGGTGACCATGGAACACACGAGCCCCAACACCCCCACCCCACACACTCTGGCAGGGTGCCATCGGCCACCGGCCCCTCAGCCTCACGTGAGCTCTTCCTGTAGACTGGGCACAAAGCGAGGCCTGGCTGGCCGTCGCACAGCTGCTGGCTGAGAGGCCGGAATGCTGAGAGCAGATAAAACAGACCAGAGGCCTCCTTGATGGCGCGGTGGGTAAAGCACAGCACCAAGAAGCTAAAGCCACTTCAGCACGAGTTCGATCCCCGCCTGCCCCGCAGGTGACCCACAGGGCGCAGCAGACCTCTCCTGACCACCCACTGCTCCCCTCAGCAATGTCCTTCGTCAGCCGGCCTGTTCTGCTCCCCACTCTGTCTCTGGTGAATCTTCTCACCCCCCACACCTCTGGCCTGTGCCCCAGTTCTGTGTGCATAAATTAAAAAAAAAAAAAATCTTTAAAAAAAGACAAAAGAATAGCTCCTGATCTGGCATAGCTACATGGAACTGGTATTCCGGGGTCCATCAAGCTTTCGGCCAGTCTCGCCCATCTTGTCTGCAGCGTGTCCTGACGCTTCTGGTCCCAACAGCAGAACTGAGAACTCGTGACGGTGTCGGTGCAGCCCAGAGCCCCGGACAGGAGCCAGGCCCCAGGGAACTCCTTGCTAAACAGCTTCAGTGACAGCCAGCCAGGCGTGCCGCCACACCCCACCGCGAAGTGGTGGGGACCCCGAGATGCCCCGCACCAGCCACAGCTGCCCCACAGAACAAGCAAAGCCGAGTCACAAATATCAAAAGCCCAATTTAATTAAAAGAGTCCAACAGAAGCAAAGCAAAACCAACGGAAACTTCGGGAACTCACCCACCTCCGACTTCCTTGGCATGTCAAACTTCCAACACAGAAGAGACCCCCACTGACACCAACATAGAAAATGGCTCAAGGTGCAGCCCACGGGTGGGGTGCGTGGTCCCTCACCCAGCCTGCCCGGCCCCGCCCGAGTCCAGCTGGGGCTGACAGCTGCAGCTGCTCCCTCCCGGGCCCTCAGCTCCTCTGAGCACACAGAAAGCAGGTGGCAGTCGGCTTTTCCTCTGGGCTGACTGCATCTCCCGAGAGGCGAGGCCAACCGGGCACTGGGATTTCTTGGCACGAACAGGCTCAAGCCGGCGCCTGCAGTCTAGGATGGAGCCGCAGAGCGGGGCGGCGGGAGGCCGGGCGGGAGCAGGCCGGGGTCTGTGCCTTCGCCTGGGCGTCGTCCTGGGCCCGGGGCCGCGTGGGCGGCACGGAGCAGCTGCAGAGCCGACACCGGGGCCGGCCGCCAGGGTTCCCGTGACACTGGCACCACAGAGCCACATGCAGCGGGATGAAGCCTACGGGCCGGGCTGCCGGCCCCGGGGCCGCCGGCCTGCGGCAGTTCTCCCAGGCGTCAGTCTCAGGCGCGCAGAGCCGGCCGGCGAGGTAGACGACAGAGGGCAGCTCTAAGTCCTCCTGCGATCCAGAAGCGCCTCGGAGTTGTTACTACAAAGCATGCTCGCCCACCTGTGCGCAGAGGCCACGGGCCGCATGCGAGAGATGGGGTTCACGGCGTGGGGCTCACGGCGTGCAGACGGTGGGGGGGCCCAAGGCCCTCCAAGCTCAAGGGCAAAACAGCGGCGCTGCCAAGGCCTGTGGGGCTCTCGTGGCCCCCAGGTGCGCCCTCCAGCCTCGGGCCACCGTTTCGGGTCACAGGCCGGGGCGACACAGCCAAATGCCAGAAGGCCTTGGCCGTCTGTTGACAGGCGCGGGGCCCGGGCCGGGCCTGCCCATCCGTGCCCCTCCGGCCTCCGGTGCGGCCCGGCGGCGGCCCCTCCCGGCCGAGTCCCCCAGGGGACCGCCGAGCCCCAGGCAGGGGTCCCAGTCTCAGCACTCGCCGGGCCGGGCTCCAGCGGGGTCCACTGGCTGAGGCCGCCTGGGGAAGGCCGCCTGGGGACCTCGGAGGCAGCTGAAGCACCAGTGTGGACAAGTCCGCGGCTTGGCTTCCGGCCCTTTCTTAGGCACCGTGAGGGCCCAGCAAGGAAGACTGTGGAGCCAGGGCCGGCGCTCCAGTGACCGCTCCCGTGACCGCGGCCAGTGGAGGGGCTGCAGCAACCGGCTCGGAGCAGAGGGGGAGAGGGCAGGGGAGGGAGAGGTGCTGGCCGGAAGGGGGGGCGCGGGGCAAGGACCTGGGCGAGCACCGGCCAGGGCAGAGCACCACGTGGGGAGGGGCCGAGCAGGTCCAGGCTGGGTCTCCGCGGCCCTCACTCAGAGGGCCAGGTCTGCGCTGCCCTCCTAGACTGTGTCTGGCTGGCTCAAGGCTCCCGGGCTGTGGCCGGCAGGGCTCACAGGCTCCTGGCTGGGAGCTGCAGTCCCTGATTCTGCGGGGGCAGACAGTTCGGGGGGCTGCTCTTCAGACACAGGGGACCTGACGAGCTCTTCACCTGGAGGCTGCTGGGAAGGGGGCACATCTGAGTCTCTGGGTGGCTGGGAGCCCTCCGCTGGGGCTGGGGCCCATGGAGACGGAGGTAGGTCCTTCTGCAAGAGAAGACAGGGTGCCATGAGGCTGGGCTGAGGCCGGGCGCGCCCTGCGGGGTTCGCAGAGACAAAACACCATGGGGAGGCAGGGCCAGTGAGCTGCCATCGGAAAGGTCGAGCTTCAGGCCTAGGACAGCAGCAGGTGACTTTCCGAGGGGCTAGGAACCCCCCAACAGAACACACAGAGGATTGAGACGCGCAGGACCAGTTAGAACCCCCATGCAGACAGCTCCAGCTTACTGCTAATCCTCCTAGGACCCTCTGAGGATGGTGGGCTCTGACCCCACGTGGTTTCCCTGAGGGCGTGAGGGGGTTCCCGAGAGCGCTCTCCCGCCCCGGGCACCCTACGCGCTGGTCACAGCATCAGGGCGCAGCGACACCGGCGGCTCTGCGGAGCAGCAAGTGTGTCCCACAGGGGAGCCCATCCGCGGGACGAGCCAGGCGCCAGCTCCTGTGCCCACCCCTGCCCGAGTGCTGACCACCCTGGGAGGCCCCCACGGGCGCCTGTGCAGGAACCCAGCATGGCTGGGCAGTTCCGGGGCACACACACCCTTCCCCGGACAGCGAGCCACAGAGCAAGGGGCAGCCCCACTGTGTCCGGCCAGCAGCTCTGGCCCCCACTCCGCCCTTTACCCCCTCATCAACTGGGGCGGAGGGAGGCGCCCGCCCCAGCTGCGACAGCTGTTTCTGACTGAGGCTCTGGGCCCCCAGAGAAGGGCAGGATCCACACCGAAGGAGCCAGCACCCCCACCAAGTCGTGCCCTCCCTGCCAGCCACCAGCACGCCTCCTGCTGGGGTGGCGCAGAACCGCCAGGGCCACACAGACACCAGGCCCACGGCGCAGCCTCCCAGAAACGGCCCAGGCAGGGTCCCAGGGCTGAGCTGCACGCCAGGTCTTACCCAACTTCAGTTCTAGCTAGGGCTTATTAGCTTATTATTTCTTGCAGAGTCACAGCAAACTGGTATTCACCGCAAAGCCGCTGCCCGTCCAGAACATGCCCAGCTCTCTGCGCCAGAGCGCCAGGGCGAAGCTGGTGATCAGCGTGCAGGGCACCAGGTAGAGGAGGGCAGGCTGACCACGCTGCATGAGGGCCAGCGCCATGAAGGTCACCAGGAGGCCGATGCCATAGGCTGCAGGGAAGGGCACGGAGGTGAAGGCAGGCTCCGGTGGCCGGCCCGGGTCTCCGCAGCCCCCACGGACACCAGGGAGTGAGCGGGGACGCCCGCCTCAGGCCCTGGGGAGATCAGGGTGCAGGTGGGCGTCACCAGTCCCAGGAAGGCGGGGCAGCGGTGACGCGGGAGGGGCTGGGGTTCTCTCCCAGCAGCAGCTCCTGGCAACCGTGGAAAATATGGACCACCGAGGAGGAGCTGTGACCCCACCCCACAGCCCGTTTCCCGTAAGCCTTTAGTTAGGGAAGTGCCGGGAATGAACCTGTGTGGAAATCAAACCTCTGCTAACGGGATGGGCGTCATGTCAAAGACCCCTACACTCCGACGAGACACTCGGAAAACCTGGGGGCCCCGGGGCGCGGCCCGCGGCTGCAGCCGGACTAAAGCCACATCACACACAACACGGGCCAGCACAGGGCGCGGGGCTGAGGAGCGCCGGCGCCTGGTGTGGCTGAGAGCAGCCGGGCAGGCCCTAACGGACGCCGGGCGCTCACGGGCAGAGCCAGCCACCGGGCCCTCGGGCCTAGCACTCCGCACCCCCCACCAGGACACCCAGACGGGCCTCCTGCTGAGGGGGCAGCAAGGGTGCTGCTCATGTCTCCCCCTCAAAAGCGACCAGCGTGGGCACTTTCAGAAATAACCTGGGATCAACGGCAAAAGTCCCTTCAGGGTAAATGGCCTCGGTCACAAATGCTGGACAAGGGAAAACCACACAAGCCAGGGGAAGGGGAACGGGCTGTCACGTGGCAGACTGAACCCCACCCCACACCCCAGGGGCAGTGGATGGTGGGCAGGGGCCAGGGCGCGGGTGCTCACCAATGGTGCAGGCCACGAAGTAGACCCTGGAGGACTGCACCTGGATGTCAAACCTGTGGCAGTAGGCCACCAGCAGCCCTGTGGAGCGAGGAGCGAGTGAGCGAGCGCCAGGCCAGGGCCGGGAGGGGCCCAGCGACTGGGCCGCCTAGAGCCTGTGGCTGCGGGTCTCAGGCAGGCCGGCAGGCAGCCCAGCCGAGAGCCCGGGCAGCACAGCACCGCGAGAGGAAGCTGCAGGAGGGCCCTGCCACGCCGGCAAGGTCACGAACCCCAAGCCTGCACCCAGTGGCTGTGAGCCAAAGTGCGGGTGCGCCTGCACCTCGGCCAGGCCACCTGGTGAGCACGGCCACCACCTGGCCCCTGCTGGTTCTGCTCCACTGCTGGGTCCTGCACCCGACCTGCCTCGGACACCACCAGGGCACCGTCCCGCCCGCCTCGTGCCCAGTTCCATACCTGGGACGAGGATGTCACCAAAGCCCAGGAGGGAGAAGGGCCGGTCGCACAGGGCCAGGGGCGAGGCGTTCAGCCGGGGCACCTTCAGGACCATGGGGAGCTGGGGAGAGCGAGGAGGCGCGTCCGTGGGGCTGCTGCGCCCGCGGTGGGGTCAGCGCCTCAGCCACAGCCCCGTATGTACCTTCTCGCGAGTGGCCGAGTCGGAAGGCCCGGTGGCCACCTCCACCATGATGCTGTTGCCGCTCTGGCCGGGGGAAGCAGTGTCAGAGGGGGCGGGGGCACGGGGGCGTAGGGCGGGGTGCAGGGGCAAGCTGTGGGCACTGGGCTGGGGCTGGGGCCCACCTTGGTCAGGAAGGGTGTGATGAACACAAAGAAGACGTCGTAGATGAACAGCACCATCAGCAGCAGCGTGCAAGCCTGGGGAGGGCGTCCCGAGAGGTGGCCCCACTCCACAGACCAGCCCGCCCAGGAGGGGCCACGCGCCCCCCCAAGCCCCGCGGCTCGCAAGGCTGGGCCTCCCTTTGCAAGGAGTCTGGGCAAAGCCTGCCCCCACCCCCAGCAGCACGAGGAGAGGTGCTCCCGGGCCTCGGCAGGCCCCGCTGGGCGGCGGGCCCTGGACTCTAGGCTTCCACGTGACGGGGACAGAGCCCCGGACACGGCCCTGGGGAGGCGCCGGCCCTTCCTGCTGCTGTTCCTGGCACCCCCGGGAGGAGGACAGCGCCCTGGGCCGCAGCTGTGTGCACCTGCCCGGTTCCATCGGGTTTTCCTCCCGTGTCACCTCAGCCAGCAGGACGCTAACCTGCCACCGGGGAGACCCGGGCCGAGCTCCAGCCAGGGTCCTGTGGCTGGTCTCACGCTCTTAGTGGGAGGCAACTGTGCAGCTGCGCCTCACACCCGTCACGGAGGAGGAGGCCGGGCCAGCCCCGCCCGCCCCGGGGGGCGCCCCCCTCCTTCCCGGGGGGAGTCGCACCTTGAAAGTGGGCAGGCGGATGGTTTTCAACATGTAGAGGCAGAAGGCAATGCCCAGCGCATCCTGCAGGACCCAGGCCCACCTGGAAGGGAGAGCGGCGCCCCACCAGGGCAGGGCTCCATCAGAGCCAAGGCCGACGGGGTCCCCGTCCCTGGAGACAGCAGTTCGAGCTGCCCTCCCCCTTCTGCAGACTCAGCAAAGGCCACGGCTAGACTCTGGGACCCGCGTGGGAGCTCTCGTGGGCGGAGGGTGGTGGGCAGGGCAGTCATGGATGGCGTGGGGGGGGACTGACCCTTCCTCCCTGGTGCCCCCCGGCAGAAAGGGTGGAGTCTCTCCCCACCCGCGGCGGCAGCTCCCACAGCCTGATCCCAGAACAGGGAGGAGCTGTGTATCTGTTAGATTCAAATGTCTTTGCAAAAATACTTTTTAAAATGATGTCGAAAGTGAAGCTCTTGCCCAGCTGGGCTCTACACAATCTCTCAGCCCACGGGGACCCGGCTCCAAACTGTCAGGCCGCGAGGACAGTCGGGAGCCCCCAGACGGCCCCAGGGTCACAGACGACAGGCAGGAGACCAACGCGCACAGCCCCGGCCTGGGCCCCCGGCCAGCGCCCACAGCTGCCCAGCACCGGGCGCATCCTCCGCCCAGGCTTCCAGTCCCCGGGTTACGGGTGAGGGCCACGGGGACAGCCAGCGTCCGCCTGTGTGCCCCACTGGGCCCCGGCCGGACCCTCCCCAGGCAGCTGCCTCACCTCCCCGTGAACACCCCGGCAGGCCGGCGCGGGGAACAAGGAGGCTGGCGGGGAGGGCAGGAACCGGCCTGTGCCACTGCCCGCCGGAGCGAGTCTCCTGGCTGGGACTTAACTGTGACGCGTACTCGCTTTATGTACAAAGGAGGCAAATATTTTCACATTTCCCTTCTGTCTGTTAAATCTGTTGGGGTTCCAAACTGCGGTGAAGCCAAGCGCACTTGAACGCCTCGGGGGAGGTGCAGGGAGCGCGCCAGATGGAGAGAGACAGCAGGCAGGCGCCGGCGGCCCGGCCCACGCGCCAGGCCCCTGCCAGCTCCAGGCCGCTGCTGGGCCCCATGCCGCGCCTCGGGGGCACAAGCTGAGGGAAGAGGGTGGCCCCTGCGGCGCCCCACGCGCTGGCTGACACACACAAGGCCGGGGGCCACCGCGCTGGGCACCCCACCCAGGCCACCCCAGCCGACACAGGCACCGGCCCGGGGGGTCTAGGCCTCTCATATCCAGATTCCAACCACAGGCCACGTGGCACCGGGACAAACCAGCGACACTGGATGCGGGTGGCGCGGAGGGCGGCCACGGCTCAGCGGCCGAGGCAGGAGGGCCGCGCTGGCTGCGCTTCCAAGGGCTGACAGGAAGGCTTTTCATGCTGAGGCGCTGGAGCGGCGCCAGGCGCTCCGGACGGCCTCGGGCAGCACAGGGAGGTCACACCAGCCCCAGGGCAGCTGAGGACAGCCCCCCGCTGCCCAGGCCTCCCCGGGGACGGCACTCACTGGTCCTCGTTCCGGAAAACTCCCCACAGCACGCTGACAGCCACACAGAACAGCGCCAGGAGCAGCATGCGGACCTGGGGGCGCTTGTGGAAGTAGGGCAGGCCGTTGCTGGGGACCCTGGGGAGGCGGGGGGACGTGGGTGTCAGGGTGGCTGACAGCCTCATCTCGACCCAGCTCCCAGAGAGCACATTATTCCAGCCTCTCGGCTGCCCCAAGTCCTGGCTCCGACAGACCCGCTCCCCAGCCTCTCTACTGTCCCAGCTAGATGGCGAGGGGCCAGCCCCCCAGTCCTGCCACCTGGCTGGACCTCCTTGGCTCCACCTTCTCTGCTCAACCCACCATTACCCGTCTTTTAGAGCATCTCTAGAAGGCACGCCTCTCCATACAGGGCGGGCAGGCACTCGGGCGAGTGGACCTGGCCAGTCACCATCCGCCCTGGCCACAGAGCCCGAGAGGCCCACGGGGCCGCCCTCCCCCGACACCCCCCCGCGTCTCAGGCAGCGAGCTGCCAACACGTGGGAGGCGCTGCCTGACCCCGCAGCAGTTACCCGCTCACCTGTAAGACACAGCCCACCCCCAGCAGGCCCCTAGCAGCAGGACCCTTCCGGACTGGACACCTGTGCGTCCAGTCACACAGCTCCAGGCGCTGGTGTGGGTCCAGTTCAGGGCCCACACGCCAGCCCGTGTCCATCACCGGGACCGGAAGACCAGACAGGATGTGGGAGAGGGCGGCCGGCCCCTACCACGGCCCCACCCTACTGCTCCCGAGGCCCTTGGGCTCCCAGGCGCCCCGAGTGGCACCCGCTGTGCCCCAAGCGGGTCGGGAGAGAAGGGGCCCACAGCGCTGAGCAGCCCAGGGACCAGGACGCGAGGTGGAGAGCCGAGGCTTTGCAGCCGGCCTCGGCCAGCACAGTGGGGGAGGCGGAGGGGGCCGGGCGCCGGCGCTCACCTGCACTTGCAGAAGGGCAGCCTCTGGATGACGGGCGCCAGGCAGCTATAGAGGCCGGTGGCGGAGGCCAGGCAGAAGATCCCAATGATCACGTAGACTGTGGGCGGGTGGGGCGGTGAGGGGCAGCTGCCGCCTCCCACCCGCCCAAGGAAGAGCCCCATGTGCTGGGTCACCTGCCAGGGAGGCTGGCGCCAAGGGGCGGGGCAGCCTTGACAGAGCAGTGGGCGGGGCGGGGCCCTGCGGGGCCGGGCGCAGCGCACGCACCGAGCTGGTCGTAGAAGTAGTAGAGCAGCACCAGCATGCAGCAGCACATGACCACGAAGACGCAGATCATGGCGGGCGTCACGTCCACCGCCTCGTCGTCCTGCTTCTCAGGCCCGTCATCCCGCTTATGCTTCATGTACCTTCTTCAGAGACACAGACAGGTGAGGGGGGCGCCCGCCGGACGGCACCCGGGGCGGAGGCCAGGCGATGGGCCAGGACGGGCCGGGAAGGCCCCACACCGGGTTCAGAAGGCCCCGGCAGGGACCCGCCGCTGGCTGCGCCCGCCCTCTGCACCCCTGCAGCCCCGGGGCCCTCCACCCCCTGCCTGGCGGTGCCACGGGCTGATCTAGGCCCTGAGCCCCACTGCCAGGACGGAATGTCGGGCCGTAGAACCCTTCGGTCAGGACAGGCCTCCGGTGTGCACAGGGCCTGCATCCAGAGGGCTACCTGGGCACGCGGGCGCCCACTCCCTGCAGCCTGTTCCTCCCGTGTCCACTTCCCAGGGCCAGCCCCGTGCTGCACGAGCAGGTGAGACGCCCAGGACACTCACTTCTTCACGTCCCGACTCCCGGCCCAGTAGCCCCCGAGGGCGACGGTGCCCACGGCCATGACGAAGATGATGATCATGTTGTAGTCCAGCATGGGCTCCCCGGGGCCGTGGGGCGCTGCCTTGACGGCCCTGCCGAGACTCTGCTCGGGACACGGAGCTCCGTCAAGCACCGTCCCCACCACTGCCCACCGGGACGCCACGCGCCAGCAGCCCTGCGGGATCCTGCCCTCGGGGATGGCCGCGCCTGACCCCAAGGAACCCAATTCTGCCAGAGAAGCTTTGCTGAAGGCAAGGTCCTCACGCGTGCCAGACACAGACCCTGACAGCACACTGACAGCACTTTCCGGCCGCCCCTCTGCCCCCACCAAAAAAGGCCCACCTGGGCATGGCTCACACCCACTGGTCACTGGTCAGCCACACTGGGGCAGCCTGGGCCTGGCCAAAGACTAGAGGGGGCAAGAGACCCTACCTTGAAAATGTCCAGCTTGTCCTTGTAGCTGAGCAGGGCCACGGGAATGCCAATCTCGTCGTGCTCCGACTTATTGCCTCCTGGGGGAACCTGGGGCCCAGGGGACGGAGATCCGAGAGCTGCCACCCCTCCCATGCGACACCTACAGTCGTCTCTCCGAGCAGGAGAGGCCTGGGCACGTGCTGGGGTCCCTGGTGCCAGGCAGTGGGGAGGAGACATGGCTGGAAGGAAAAGCTCAGCCTTCACTAAAGTGTGGGGTGAAGCCCATTAGCTGCCAGCGGGTCTGGGGACCCTGGGAGGAGGCTGTTATGCAGGCAGGCCGGCGCCCGCTCTCCGCAGCCTGGTCACCACGGGAACCCGTCTCTGGCCCCAGGACTGCTCCAGGCCGGGTTCCCTCAGGCAGGGTCCGAAGGCCTGAGCGCACAGTCCTGGCCAGCCAGGAGGGCCGGCCCAAACTCCTCCGGCCCCCCGTCACGAGGCCCCCCCATCCGTGCCTGGCTCCCTCATGGTGAGGAGGGGCCCCCGGGGGTCGTACCAGCGCCTCCTTGCTGACGAAGAGCAGCCCCCGTGCTCCGTCGCCCTGGGCCAGCCTCACTTTCTCGTAGAAGGTGCAGTTACCCCGCGCCGCCAGCGGCAGCTGGAAGCTGAAGCCCTGGGAGGGGAGGTCGGACGGGGAGCAGAGCATGGAGGCGGGCCAGTCACGCAGCTGCAGGAGAGACTGTGGTGGGGCGACTACAGGAGCTGTCCCCAGAGAGCCGGCCAGACCCAGGCCCCGCAGGGCCAAGCAGGCGGGCGGCCGCCGACCCTTCACGTGCCTCACGCAGCCGGCACCTCCCCACAGCCCTCCCGGACTCCCGCCCGCAGCGCAAGGCCCAGGGGTGCTCAGACGCACACACGCACGCACGTGCACACTCACACACGTGTGGCACACACAACGCACACGGACTGCAGAGCGGATGGACAGGAGAGCACAGGCGAGCTCGCCTTCAGACGGCGCCTGTGTCTCCAGCGCCTGCTCCTGGGCCACGAGGAAGACACCTGTGCGGCAGGAGCCTCAGCCTCTGCAGCAATCACCCTGCAGCCAGACGGCCGATGCCCACACCAGAGCCCGGGGCCCGCGTGCAGAGGCAAGCAGAGCAGAGCCGGCGGGGGAGGGAAGGCCGGCGGCCCGGAACCAGTCCCCTGGCTCCTCTCGGACCCTCTGCCGGTCAGCCCCACTGCACATCCCCTCTAACTGTCCCTTCAGGAGCAGGGCCCCAGGGCCCCAGAGAGCCCGAGATTAGAGCTCTGGGTCACCCCGGACTCCAAAGGCCCCACGGCCTCTGGCGTGCGGCTGGACCCCATCTCCGCCCCCCAGACCAAGTCCCACCGCGGCCCCCGCCGGCTGTCTGCATCTTGACTTGCTCTGGAGACCCGAGGAGAGCAGCAGGGTGGGAGCAAGAAGAGAGCTCGTTCCCACGTAGGCAGGCGCCTCTCGGCCACATCCCCCGCGTGCCGAGGTCGTGGGCGGGCCCACTGCGAGCTGTGCAGGACACGGCAGTCCTGCCTTGGGACCCCCTTCGCAGAGACCACGCGCACCATGCCGACTCACAGGCCGCCTGCAGCAAGGGGGCAGCGCTCAGAGTGGGCACAGGGCTTCCGGGCCCCTCCGTGAGGGGCCAAGCTGCTCCCGCGGGTCTGGGGTGGCTTCTTCTGACAGCACTGCGGGACACAAGCCTCCACGTGCACCAGGAAGGAGGCCACTGCAGAGAATGGCCACCAGCAGCCCCTTGGGTGCTGGCCCTGGTCCCGCCAGGGCCCTCCCCATGGCTCCCAGAGCTAGGCGAGCCCCCCAGGCTCTGTACAGCAGGGAGGGGTCACAGGAGTCTGCGGTCTTTGCCCACACCTGTGTGAGCCCTTGAGGCTGAAACCACAGCGCAAGGCAGGGGCCCTGGGGGGGCTTCCCGTACCCCAGCCGGCTCAGGAACCCACAGGCTCCAGGTAAACTGCCCACTAGAGACGAACCAGTGAGGCCACCAGGCGTCCCTGGGCCTGAGGCCAGCCCCTCTCTTTCCAGTGGGGGGCTGGAATCCAAGTGACATGGCAGGTAACTTGTGAGCAGAGGAGAACACAGGCCAGTGGGGAGCCCCAGGTCTTGCCGGGTAAGGGCTATCTCCCCAGCTCCAGCGTCCTGTCCCACCAGGCTGAGGGGAGGGACAGGAGCGGGCAGCTGGCTTTCAGCGTCTCCTGCCGTGCCCCGGTGGGAAGCAGGGACTCACAGGCAGCACAGGGAGGGCTGTGCTGACCGAGTTTCGCTGGGGCCAAGGGCAGAGGTGCCCGCTGGCCTCGGAGGGAGGGCAGGCCAGGGTCCCCACACACTGACGATCCCTGGGATGGCCGAGGGCTGGCAGGACATCTTTTCCATTTGATGCTGGCCAGCTTCCTCCACGTGAAAACCCGCGGCTGCCCCCGAAAGCGTGCCCCCCGCAGCAGGGGCATCGGCCCGTTCACTTCTGATGTCGGAGCAGGTGCTGCCCCTTGCTCGTCCTCTCATCTGCCCGGACCACAGGTCCCTCCGGGGCTGCTGCTCCCACGCCTGTCTCCAGTCCCCACGGGAAGGCCCTGCCTCACCGGAGGATGCCTGTCACCAGAGGCCCCGCCCCATGAAAGTGGCCCGGGTCTTGGCTGCCCAGCCCCAGGCAGGCTGGCAGAGTCTGCCTCACCCCGGCTGTCACGCCTGCTGGGAGAGGAGGGTGAGGAGCCCCATTCCAGGAGCGAAGAGGCTGTCACCAGCCAGACCATGCCCGGGTCACCACCCCAAGGCTTACCAGAGCTGAGGGGCCAGCTAGACACTAATCCACACTCAGCACACTTGGGGCCCTGGGCGCGTCCTCTGTGTTCATGCTCTCGCTGGGCTAGAGCACCTGAGACAGACATGGGGCCACACTCCTGGGCCCCGAGAAGCTGCCGGCTGCCATGGAGACAGAGGGGGCAGCTGCTCACCTGGCATGGGACAGGTGAGGAACCAGAGGGGCCTCTGACTTCACCAGGGGACCTCATGGGCTGCTCCGGGGGCTTTCCACTCGGGCTAGTCACGGCCCGAAGCGGATGCAAACAGGAGGCAGCAGACGAGCCCACTCGCCGCCCCCACAGCCCCAGCTGGCCCATCTCTAGCACGCTGGGTTATCCCCCAGGGAGGAGCTGGTGGCCAGAGGGGCTGCTGGGCGTCCTGGGTGAGGCGGAGCGTACAGTGGCTGCGCGCCAGAGAAACGAGCTCCAGGAGCGTGGGCGGGACAAAGGCGGCGAGGCCCCGGGCCTACCCCCCTGGCCCGAAGCAGGAGCCCTCTCCCAGTTGTCCCCACGGGCGGCCCCCATACTGGCCGAGAACCGGCCAGGCCTGCTGCGCCAGCCGGGCCACAGGCCCAGGCGCTCCGCCGCGTGGGGACGCCCCGGGGGTGACGGTGCGCCACGGCAGCGCGGCCACACCCACAGCTGCGGATACAGCAGAACACCCGTGCTGGCACGGTCGCCCCAGTCGCAAATGGGAGTGGGGTGCAGGGCTGCCCCCAGCCCCAGCAGCAGAGCTGCACCATGGCCCTCAGAGGGAGAGACTCTGACCGGCCCTGGGGGTCCCCGTTCTGGGGACCCAGGTGTTGGTGAAAATCAGCTGATCATTTAGGAGCCCCAAAGCACGCCTCACGGGTCGCCCACCCTGATTGTGCGCAGCTGCTTTCTGTGCTTTTCTCCAACACCAGAGAAAGTGCCAAGCCGAAGAGCCCAGGGAAAGTCCTCTAGGGGCCTCCTTCTCCGGGAGCCTGAGCCCACAGGCCTCTTCCTGGAGACCCGGGAGCAGTCGGCTACCAAGGAGCGGCCTTCTCAACTCCACCCCCAGCAAGCGGGTCAGGGTCCCCTAAGGAAGCTTCACTCCACAATGACCGGCAGCGCTCTGCGGGGCGGAGCTAGGTGCGGCGGGAGGAGTCCTCCCCAGAAGACTAGGTACGTCCCCACAGAAGTGTGGCAGTAAGGAGCCAGAAGCCTGGGAGATGGGGTCGGTAGAAAAGGGACAGGGGAAGGTAGAGGAGGGCGGGGACAGTGGAGGGGCAGAGGACCAGAGGCGGAGACACGAAGGGCGGGCAGGGGAGAGCCTAGCGCCCTGCTCAGGAGGCAGGCAGGCTGCGCGGCTATGGACGGGCACCGACTCGGGCTCAGCCTGAGGATGTTTGAGGTCCGCTCCCTCGCCCCGTCACGAAATGGCAGTAAACGGAACTAGTCTTCTCCAGCACTGGGACTAGGATCCAAATTTCTGGCAGAACCGCACCACCACGGGGTGCCACCGCATCGCCAGGCACTTTCATGCCCGGAGTTCTGTTCTGGGAAGAGAGGCCCCGTGCTCTTTGCATTTCCTGGCTCTCCAGGTCCGGGATGAAGTCTGAGACCCCCAGTCGGCCTGGAATAAGATCCAGGTGCCCGAGCAACACGAGCTACCTACCACCCGATCTCACCTGTCCAGCCCAGCCCTCGGACTCCGTTAGGAGAGCCGTACACACTTCACCCTCCACCACACCCAGGGCTGACCCTCCTTCCCAACCCAATGGGGAAGCCCCAGTGTCCCTTCTAGTGCCCAGGGCAGTAACAGCTTTCTCAGGGTGTAAGCACTGGACGGCCACGCACACCGGCTACAGCCAAGCCTTGCAAGCGCTCACCCCACCCAGCCCTGCCCCCGTCCCCTGCAACATTGTCTTCCTGCTGGAAACCCCTGCGTGGCCTACAGAACATCCCTGGGCGCCTGCCCTCCGAGTGCTCGGACTGGTGAGGAAGACAGCAACCAGGGCTGGGGCTAAGAGGGGCTGGGGAAAGCAGCTGGTAGCCGGTGACGCAGAGGTCTCCTGGGGAAAGCTAAGCCAAGCAGGACGGCAGAGGACTCCGAGGCAGCAGAGACCACCTGCAAGCAGACTGCCTTCACCACCAGGGCTGGTAGGAAAGGAAGCCTCGGAGCAGCCAGGTCTGCGGCCTCCCAAACGTGTGGAAGAGCCCCTGGAAACACTCAGCTGCACGGAGACCTTACCAAGAGTGGACCTGGCCGTTGAAAGACTAGTGGGGGGTAGCTGGGGTTCCGGATTAACAGCGCGATTGTAGGCAAAAGGTTCCTCTGGAACCCCAGGGAGGGAGGACTTGGATATAAAAGAGGTGTTTGAGAACATGTACATCAGCCATCCCCTGGCAGGCCCCCCTGTAGCACCAGAGAACCTTAAAGTTAAGTGACGCATCAGTGGCTCATCAACCCAAGGCACCATCTCTGAGTCCGAGGTGGACTCACTCTCCATCCCTTGGGTAAAGTGAGGCTCAAAGCCGGGAGTCCCCATGCCAAGGTCATGGAGCGGAAGTGGACGACTGATTCCTCCACACTCCAGGGTTGGCACTGGGCACCTTACCACAACCCCGAGGGTGGACGCCACGATCGCGGCCAGATCTCGGGAGGGGAAACTGAGGCTCAGAGAGGGAAAGCCACCTGGCCAACGCAACGGGGCCAGTAAGGGGCATCCCCGGCGGCGGCTGGAGACCCGGGCACGGACCAGCCAGGGCCTCCGGAGGGTCGGGGGACCCCCAGGCTCAGACTCGGGCGGAACTGAGTGACGCTGCGGGGGGGAAGGACTTCCAGGGCGGCAAGGGGGGCGGGTCTGAGCCAGGCCCGCAAGGTCAGGCGCCGGACCCGCGCCCGCCGACTGCCCGCGCGGAGAACGCGAACTGGTCCCGAAGGGGCCCCCCGGGCGGGCCGGGCCGCGCTCTGTGCCGGGAGCCGGAACGGAGGGGCCGAGGCAGCCGCGGCCAGCGAGGCCAGCGAGGCGGACGCACTCCTCACCTGGGCCACGAGGAGAAAGGCCGCCGCGAGCCGCGCCAGCGCAGCCGCCGCCGCGTCGGCTGCTGCCCGCAGTAGCAGTTGGCAGCTGACTCCCAGCAACGCCCCGGAGCTCTCCTCTGCGCAGGCGCCGCGGACGGGGTCAAAGGGCGCAGCGGCGGCGCCTGCGCAGAGCGGCGCGGCGAGGCAAGATGGCGGTGAGCGTGCGGCGGGGCAGGCGGCTTGGGGGCGCGGCGCCGGGCTGAGCAACCGGCTTCACTCGCTCTGCTTCCCCCGCAGGACAAAGAGAAAAAGAAGAAGGAGAGCATCTTGGACCTGTCCAAGTACATCGACAAGACGATCCGGGTGAAGTTTCAGGGGGGCCGCGAAGGTAAGCCGCCTGCCCCTCGCGCATCTCCTAACTATCGGCACTAAGTATCGCTCCCGGCGACGGTGGGAGCCGGTGCCCAGGGCTCCCACCGTCCCCTGGGCAAACCGCGTCCCCTGGGCAAACGCCCTGTGCAAACGTCCGGGAGACCGGCGCTCGTACTCGCGTCGTGCAGGCGGGGAGGCTGCACTGCACGTCGCAGGTGCAAAGTGAGGTTCGGGAAGCCAGGGAGACGCAGCGGGGTCGGCACGCGGTTCCGCCTCGTCTTCTGTGTCCTGCTCCCGCTCAGGCGGCTGCATCGGCTTTTCATTCGTCTCTTGGCTTCTTTACCTGCACCCCGCTACCTCGGGGATCCTCAGACTGGGCGCTTTTGAATTGCCAACGCCTAATTGTTCGGGGTGTGGGCATTATGTCCTGGAACTGAGTTGTTGAGCAACATCCCCAGCCCCTCTCGACGCCAGGAGTGTCCCAGTAGTGATGGCCACTAATGTCCCCACCCAGCGCTTATTGTCCCCTGGGGGACAGCACGGCCCTGCAGTCGATCTCCATTCAAAGGCAAGAGGAATCTGTTAAGAACAAATTGAATCTCCTTGCTTGCTATTTAACTCGCCAGCCATAATGGAAAAAAGACACATGCTTCTTTCTGCCTGGAGTGCTCTTACTAGGTTGACTTATTACCAGATTAACTCCCAGAAGCACTTTCCTGCTCTCCTTTCAAGGCAGACACCTGGGTTTGGTTAAGCTCTGGTAGCACCTGTCACCGTTTACAGCTCTGTGCTCATAGACATGATGCTGAAATCTGCATCTGCCACTGGACTCTGGGAGGAGAGTGAGATCACAGGGTGGGAACCAGGCCAGATGCTGCCTGCTCGGTGGGCAGTCAGTGGGCAGAGCTGTCTCGTGGTAGCAGACAGCACAGTCTGGTCCCAGGTTCCAGCTCCAGCCAGCTCGGGTTGGAGCCCCGACTCTTCCGCCCACTGACCAAAGATTTGGGGCGATTTGCTGTGGCCCTCAGTTTCTTCATTTGTCAAGTAGCTCCACACACCTCGTGGGTGGCATTTAAAAGGTCTGTGTGCGTGTTCCAGGTACCTCATCAGCATTTCAGTTCATTTCACTCTCCAGTCGATGTCATAAGCTTCTCAATGATGCAAATTTATTGCCTCAAATGGTCAGGGACCTTATACTCCAGCTTTTGCATGAGCTTGTAGTGAGTGAGTGTCCCTTGGGGCCTGTCATCTCGGGCTTGGGGTCCTTCTCCAACCCACTGGTTACTGGCAGAATCCAGTTCCTTGTGACTGTAAGACTGGCATCCATGCTTACATTGGTCAGGGACCTTGGGGGTTGCCACCAGGGGACTCTGTCTACCGGGTGGTAGTTTGCCCCTCCGAGGCCGGCAGGAAAAGTCCCCCCGCTTCAGATGTCTTCTTTCAGAAAGCGCCTTACCCTTAGTGGCTCACCTACCAGAGCGGCTCTCTCAGCGCGCTCTTTTACCTCAGCTGAAAGTCGCCAGCTTGAGGCCCTCCACCTGCAGCTCCTTGGTGGCCACCGAACCACAGGAGCAGCGTCTCGTCACACTCCCGGGTCCCATCTCCCGGGTCCCATCTCGCTCTCCAGGCAGGGGCTGGGGGCAGAATCACGAATGTTCTCACAGGCTGGGGGGTACCACCCCTGTCTAAGAATCTGCAGTGCTGGAGTCCCAGCGCTGGAATTTCACCGTTTTTAAGTAGCTGAGAGAAATCAGAAGAACGCTTTTGTGACCCGTGAGAGTCACAAGAACTGCTGCTGTGCTGGCCGCCTCAGGCCTAAGGGTGCCGTCCTGCCTTGGCGTGTGGGTGTCGCCCGCAGCTTTTGCCCTCGGGCCGGGCAGCCGGTCCTCTGCAGGGAGCCCCCAGCACCCCAGCGGACGTTGTTCCCCTGGGGCGCCTTTCCGCTTCTCCCCAGCCCTGTGTCTGTCATCAGCAGGAAGGCTGCCCCCTACGCCTGGTGCTGACTTTTAGGAGAGGCTCCCTGTCTCTCCTGTGCTGGCCTCGGGTGGGGCGCACCGTCCCCCAGGGGCCGTCTTTCTTACCCGTCTCCATGTCTCCTCTCTTCTCGGTGGTTCCTACAAGCCAGTGGAATCCTGAAAGGGTTTGACCCCCTCCTCAACCTCGTGCTGGATGGCACCATCGAGTACATGAGAGGTGAGCGCTCCCAGCGGGCCTTCCCACTGCCCCGGCCCTGACCGCGGTCCGGGGCTTGTTGACTGTGACTTCTCTGCGGGCTGGCCATGCCGCACCGCCTCTCCGGGGATGACAGACGTGACGCCTTGGCGGTGCCCTGGTCTGGAGCAGCGTTCCTGCCGAGGGGGGAAGTGCGCACGGCCCCTCGTCTTCCCCCGCCCCTGTGCTCCCCCTGCTGCTGACAGCAGCGTCCGGTTTTCCTCATTCTCCACCCTTGGCCCTGTCCCAGGTCCCAGCCCCACACCGCAGCCACGTGGTCAGGCCCGCCCTGTCCATCAGCAGCAGTTCTCAGCTCAGCCTACCTGAGGCATTAGGAGAACGCCCAGGGCGGGCCGGGCAGGGACGGGCCTGGTTGAAGGAGCCGTCCTGTCCGAGAGCCGAGTTAGGCTGGCAAAGCGCGAGCGCAGCAGCACAGGACTGCCTGGGCCGCCAGAAAAGGCCCTGTGGGGGCGAAGCCTCTCCGGGCGATTGGCAACACTGAGGTCTCCCGATCCTCCTCTCTCTTCCCCGCACCTCCCCCTGCCCCTGAGTCTGCCTGAGCCGGGTCCTGGCTCTGCCTCCTCGTGCAGACAGTTTTCCTTGCCGTGGGGCCGTGGGGCCCGCACGCGTTTATGTGTTTGGCCGGCAGCCCAGGGGCCTTGGCGCCTGGAGCCCGCTGCAGGGTTCAGGGCAGCAGGTGGGAGGGTTTGACCCAGGGTAGCTGTCGGTGCCGGAGCTCGGCGAGCCAGAGCAGCCCGGTGTCCTCACAGTAGCGAAGCCCTCGAGAGCCTCCGCACTGTCCCTCCTGGCCCCTCTCGCCTGCTGCTGACAGCCCGACTCAGGGCTGCGACACAGGGCTGCGTGGTGATCCAGAGCCAAGGGTCCAGGTGGGTCTGTATCGGGGTCACCTGGCTGGCACCGCACTGCCAGGGCCCTGTGCGCCCAGTTAGTGGCGGGACGTAGCCCACCCTCCCCGGGCCTCCTGCTCCCGTTTGCACAACAAAGGCAGGTGCCTTTGGTGCCCTGGAACTCCCTGGTCCCAGGGAGGAAGCCCGTGAGGTCGGGCCCAGTGGGGAGGAGACTCGGCCTGCCGCCCACCCCTGCCCCTGGAGGTTGCCCCTGGAGGTCCGGGGGGCACCGAAGGGCCTTTGATCTGTCCCTGAGCCCCTCTGAGCCAGCGCCACTCCCTCCCTCCTCTGCAGACCCCGACGACCAGTACAAGCTCACCGAGGACACCCGGCAGCTGGGCCTGGTGGTGTGCAGGGGCACCTCGGTGGTGCTTATCTGCCCGCAGGACGGCATGGAGGCCATCCCCAACCCCTTCATCCAGCAGCAGGATGCCTAGCAGCGGGGCGGCCTTGGAAGCAGGACTTTCTCTTTGGATTAGTAACATATTTCTTTTCTTAATAAAATTGCAAACTTCACGTGTCCCGGAGCCTGGGGTCTTGCTCCCAGCCCTGGTTTTCTGGGCCTGGGTCCCAGGGGTTTAGTTCTGCCCATCAGTTCACCAAGTACTGTGAGGTGCATGCTGGGAGCTGGGGAGTGACCCTGGCCTGGGCCCATGAGGGTCTTCGCTGAGCTGCCTGAGGGGCCGAAGATGCAGCCTGTGGCTCTGGGCAGCTGGGTGCACCAGGGAGGCAGCCGCTTGCCTCTGCCAGGTCCCGAGGCCCCACTTGGCTTCATCCCTGCATGCGGCCCCCCTGGGCATTCTGGGAAATGGCCTGCGCTTACAGCATCCGACCAAGGACCCAGTCTGCCCTGGACACTTCGAGCAGATTGGTCGTTCTGAATGCCCCTGGGCCCCTCCCAGAGGCAGGTTTCTCCTCAGACGGTGTTCCCCATGGGGGCCGCCCCTACTCCGTGTCTGTCCCATTTGTCACTTCAGGGGGCCGAGAGGGAGGCTGGGAGTGGGGGCGAGGGGGCCTGGAGAGGGCGCTTAGAGCCGGGACACAGGCCGTGCGGGGTCCCGTGCGGGGTCCCGGACTCTCCCGGAGCTGCACAACAGCCCAGGCCTGCGCCCCGGTGAGGCTAGGACCTTGTGCCCGGCTCCAGCTCACTCCCTGCTCGCTTCAGTGCAGCTGGGCTCGGCTGCAGCCCAGAACCCCTGTCAGTCTCCTCCCTGTGCTCACTTGTGCCGCAGACCAACCCTCCTCTCTGGGCCCTGCCCCTTCTCAGCTCCAAGCCAAAGCGGTGCGAGTGGCCTCTCCGCCCAGCCGGGGCTGCTGCCCGGGGAGTCAGTCAGGGCGTGTCAAACCTGAAGATGGCACAGAAGGCCGTGGGCGCCCAAAAGAGACACCGGGCTTCCTGGGGACTCAGGCAGAGCCCAGCAGAAAGGGAGGTGAGCGGGCCCCTCCCACCGGGCCGCATGTGCCCTAGAGACCACTTTGGCCTAGTTTTCAGGAGACTAGAAATAGCCCACCTGGCCGTCACCAGGGCATCCGACAGGCTCTGCTCCTTCAGCAAACAGGAAGCAGCAACGAGGTGGGTCTCAGCCACGGGCGCCTGGCAGCTCTTCCTAGCAAGGGGGAGAGCCTGTTTGCCCTCCCTGGAGCCGGGGCTTGCTTTGGTGATAACGCTGTGATGGAAGTGGGGTGTGAATTCAGAGCCCAGGTCTCAGGGGCCACATGGACTTGAGGACTCTGCCCAGGGTGGCCATGGCATGAGCGCCTGGCTCCCTGGGGGCTGAGAGGCTGCCCGAGGAGCCCTGGGCCGGCACCCAGAGCCCCCACTGTCTGTAGAAATAGGCCTGTCTCCCCCATCAGACTTGGAGTTGGGGGGTGGGGGGCGTCTGAGCGCAATAAGCATATACTACCGAGTCAGTGCATCTGGCCATCTTTCCAGGCTTCCTACTTCCATTCAGGACCAAGGTCAGCCCTAGGGACCCACCTCTGCCGATGCCCACTGACAGGAGCCAACAGGGGAAGTACTCACCCAGGAAAGAAAAGCCTGAGACAGCATTGATGGGGGGCGTGTGTGCTCACAGGAGCCAGCCTCTAGGCACCCCACGCTGGAAACAATGCTGCAGGCCATTACTGAGCACATCCTGGGTTCCCTTCCCCCGCATCCCCCAAGCACCAGCTCCTCACCTAAGCTGGGGTCCTCCCCACCATTGGGGCCCAAAACCTTGGAGAGACTGGATTTCCTCCATGCCTCCGGCTGCGGCTACCTTCTGAATTTGCCTCAGCCTACCCAGCCCCCCAGAACCAGGCCGGGGGGAGCCCGCTCCAGCTGGGAGGATGAGGCAGCGTAGCTGAACCCTGCCAAAGACATCACCAGAGGTAATGATGGACAGTCCTTAACGATCACCAGAAGTAATGATGGACAGTCCTTAACGAACACGCAAGGGTCCCAGCAAATACACGCAGGGCAAACCCAGCCGTGTGTGCAAAGCTCGTCCGTCCCCCAAGCGGGGCCTGCGCTGGGTAGGCAGGAAGCCCGCGAGGCTGTCCCCAGCCTGACGGAATAGAGGACAAGTTTGCACGGCTGTGGGGTCCCGCAGGAGGGCCCTGACAGCGCTCGGCGCCCTGCAGATTAAACGTGGGCCAGGGCCGGAGGGAATTACCTCCAGAGGCGCGTGAAACACCAGCCTATTGGTGGGGACGGAATGCTCTCTGTGGGTCAGGCACTGGCACAGGGGCCCACTACCCCACGGCCAGCCTGCGATGGGGCGGAAGTACAGGACCCGTGGTCAGCACGGGCAGAGCTAAAGCCGTCTCCACCTGCGAAGTCTGAGCCTGAGGCTGCCCCGTTTCCTTCCTGAAATCACCTGCCGTGCCTGGGAGCTGAGTGCTTGAGCAGGTACCTCACCTGGAGCCTGGCCCTGCCTCCCTGGCTTCCTGCTGCCCTTCAAGCCACCACAGTTTGCAGTTGCAGCTCAGGTCCTGCAGCACCCCAATGTCCTCCCGTCACATGGGAGCAAAAGCTAAGCTGGGCCTCTCAGCTGCAGGCTCCCCACACCCCTCCTCTCCTGAATTCTTCCTGCCCCTCCCAAATCCTGTGGACCCTTGGAGCACAGGGCTTGCACCCACCTGTCAGGTGATCGAGAGCTCTTGAGCCCCACCCCTGACCCAGCCTGGCCCTCAGCAGAGGCGCCTGTCCTGTGGCTTTGTTAAATCAGCCCTGAGGGGCCGGGGCGTCCCTCCAAGCCAGCCCCCTTTCTGGATTGCCACTTGGCAGTTTCTAGCCACACCGCAGCCCCAATCTCAACCTCAGTCCTCTGCAGCTCACTCACCTGTTTGCTGTCCACAGCGTCTGTCTTGGCTAACACAGCAACCAGCTACGATGCCAGCTACCCTGAGAACAGGCGAGTGACCGAGTCCAGGAGTTTTCCAGCACATGCAGCAAGGGAAGAGGGGCAGGACTGAGCAGAGACGGGCTGCCGCGAACAGGCCTTCACTCGGGCCCCGGTTTGAAGAGTGTGAAAAAATTATATGAGATAATCAGGGACATTGGACACTGGCTAGACAAGTGAGGATGGCAGGAACTCCTGTTACGTAGAGGATAATCGTGGAACTGTCGGCCATGATCTTTTTAAGTCTAATTTAGAAATACAAGAGTCTATAGATGGAATTATAGTGCCAGGCACTTGCCGGGAGAGCTGAGTGCTGGGGAAACGGCTGGAGCCACACTTTGGTGACAGTTTTGCTGTGTGATTCTCCCAGCTTTTGCTTTTGTCCGAATTTTTCTTTTTTTCTCTCTCTCTCTCTTATTATTTATTTACGCTTACAGTAACTCGGGTACAGGCCAGAGGTGTGGTAGGTGAGAGGCTTCACCAGAGACAGAGACGGAGTGGGGAGTAGAACAGGTAGGTTGACTGGCAAACTGCTGAGGGGAGCAGCGGGGAGACAGGAGGGCCTGCTGCACCCTGGGGTCCCTCCCTGGCCGGGGATCCAACTCATGCTGCAGGGGCTGCGGACAGCTTCATAGAGCTGCGCTTTAAGCCCCTCATGCCACCAGTGAGGAACCTGTGTCTGGATTCCTCTATAATGAAACGTTAACATAATCAAGAAGTCCTTTTGGACTTTGCTGTTAATTTCTTTGGTTATCAGAGGAGAGGTCTATTTTCTTATTATTTTAAATTTCTGTTTATTTATGTTTTAATAAATTTAAATAATTTTAAATTTATTTTTATTTATTTATTTAATTTATTTATACATACAGAACTGTGTCTGGATTCCTCTATAATGAAACGTTAACATAATCAAGAAGTCCTTTTGGACTTTGCTGTTAATTTCTTTGGTTATCAGAGGAGAGGTCT